AGGGACAACCTCCTGCCCTGATACCATGTTAAAATACTAGCTAGAAGCTAGGTAGGTTGGAAGCCATGAGAATGGCGCAAGGTTTAGCTAGGGGGTAGAGGAATGTAGGGAGAAGAGAGGGGCGACTAGAAAGAGGGAGGGATAGAAGGAGGGGATTGTACCCTCTACAGTAGAGTTCGATAACCTACCAAGCCTACTAATTATATAGCAAAATATATAATTAACACATGATCCTCCTGTGTCAGGAGCCTCGACTTGAGGGCAGAGCGAAGCACATCCAGCTGCGGTACTTCCTCCTGCGCGAGTGAGGGTTTCAGCTAGGATTTAGGGCCGTCTGAGAATCAGACGGGGTTTTAAAGTTTGGTCTAACCATCAGATGGAAATTTTTAAGGAGTCTGAGATTTCAAACGAAAATTTTACACCGGTCTTAAAATTCTGACGATTTTTTTGCGCAAGAATATTCGTCCTCGATTTGTTCGTTTCCTGCCAAGAGCGTTTTCTTATGAACCTCTTCCCAGGCTACCCAATTCCCAGACTCTGTCCTCGCTTGAGAGCGTGCTTACAGGTTTTCTTGTTAAGCTCATTTCATTTCAGTATCACATCGCTTTGATTCTGCTCGGGTCATAATCAAACTGTAGAGACCCGCGCATCTCTGGAAAAGGTGCGCCAGCGAAGAAGTTTAAAATATGCCCTAAACCTCGTTAGTCTGAACCACGCAGAAGTGCGCAAGAGTCATTGCACGGCACTGAAGCGTGTGAGTCTGGGAACAGGAAAAGGCTCTAAAGGCGTGTGTCTTACGGTTCCGCTTCTGGAAGTTCCGTAACTAGTTTTGGAACTGGCGAAGATTTTGCCTGGGGAGGACCTCGCGAAGCCCTGTCAAAATGTGCTGCGAAATGTGTAACCAGACCTAGTTCCAGAACTTGCTGAGTTCCGGAACTGTAAGACACACGCCTTTGGATTATGGCAGGAACACTCGCAGGTGGCGTGGCGTGTCACGTGCAGGCAGCCCCTATCTTTGCCCAGCAATTTCAGGGTTCCTTCCACCCCGCCCTCGGTCCAGTCAAGCGACGAAGCAGAAAAAACCGTGTGGAAGCAGGGTAGCAGGGACTTAGCAGGAAAAACCGGGCTGCGAGGGGTGTGTGGAGGAATGTATCTTGCAGTTAAGGACTGCGCAGAATTTTTTGGGTTGGTGTCTTGTGTTGATGAATGACTCTGGCATGGGAGACTTAATAAAAAAATTGTTGTTGCGAGGGGTGTGTGGAGGAATATCTCTTGTGTGGGGCACTTAGCCGGAAAAACTAGGTATTCTAGGGGTGTGGGGGGGATGTATCTGGCAGTCGAGGACTTAGCCAAACAAATCCCAGTTGTGGGGGGGGGAGGGGGGAGGGATGGGGGGACGAAGAGGAATGCCCGAGAGTCTCAAACGAAAAAATACGCGTTATCTGATTTCTCAGACGAAAGTCTACACCTGGTCTGAACTTTCAGACGGAATCTTATGGCTTATCTGGACGATCAGACGAATCAATTTAGCCCGTAAAAAATCAGATGAAAGGAAAAAAACAGGTCTGATTTTCATACCATCAGACCAATTTCGTCTGATATCTGAAACCCTAGCGCGAGCTACAGCAACGCCGCCAGGCACGTGTAGTACACTTGGCCTCCGGTGCCAACACAGCTAATATCTTTACGAAGGCGCTGTTGAAGTGAGAAAAGTTAGGAGCTAGGTAGAAAGGCGGCCATAGAATGGCTGCAGGGTTTAGCTAGGAGGTAGGGGGTGAGAGTTGACGAGAGAGAAAAAAAGGGTAGACTAGAAAGAGAGAGGGATACAAGGAGGGGATTGTACCCTCTACAGTAGAGTTCGGTAACCTACCAAGCCTACCAATTATATAACACAATATATAACTTGACAGGCGCTTGCGCCTAAAGATCATCAACGGCACTGTGTACAGCTTGGTCTTGTTCCTGTAGTCTCTCATTTGCTAGGGCCTTGATTGTGTACTGACCTTTATATATATACACTGACGGAAAGTATTGTCCACATGTTTGTGACTTGGAGGAATTTTGCCATTTTAGGGGGTCATGGACATTAAGCCTTAATCTTCTGGTGTGCCTAGTGTATGTAGGTTGGGGTAAGGCTCTACGCCCATGCCTTACATCACACAAGTATAATGATGTTTTCAACAAATACCAGAAAATAACAATCTTGGTACATGTGGACAATTATTGCCAGGCGCAAGCAGCAAGTTACATCAACCCCAAACTAGTACCTAATCCACCGCCCTTTCGCCTTAGACACTGCCCTCACCCTCCTGGGCATGCTTTCCACCAGGTGGGTGCACACATCCGTCGGGATCTTCTCCCATTTCTCCTGCACCCGCTCCCAAAGGTCCAGCATACCAGTGGGAGTCTTATAAGGCTTGGCCAGCTGCCTCTTGAGATGAGCCCATAAATGCTCCATTGGGTTGAGGTCGGGTGAGGAAGACGGCCACTCTAGTACCCCAGAATCTTGCTCTCAAAGCCACTCGTGTACGATACGCGACTTGTGCTTCGGGTCGTTGTCGTGCTGGAAGATAGTTTTTGAGGGTGTAAGCTGGTAAAGCTCAATCGTACTGTTGAGATCATCCTGCAGTATACTCAGCGAGAGCAGTCCGTCCATCCTACCATATGTTTTGCTCATGAAACCCGCTCCCTTTTACGACACGCAGTCGTAAATTATCAAGCAACCGCCCCTGTGTTTGACGGTCTGCTTGATTTGGTGTCTTTGGAGGGCAGTCCCTTCGTGAACGCAGGCGTATGAGAGTCCGTCGGATGCAAGACGACCGATCTTGGTCTCATCCGCACAGATAACTCGCTTCTAGTCGTCAACCGTCCAGTCTGCGTGGGCACGCGCCCATTCCAGCCTATCGCTTTTGTTTTTCCGAGAGTGTCGCGGCTTCTTGGGATGCTTGATTGCGACAAGTCGGCTCCCATTCAAAGCATTACGCAATGTCTTAGGATGCAACGTGATGCCGTGCTGCTTCTCAACGATTTTCGCCACGTGAGCGTCGATTTCTGCCTCCTCGAGGGTAATCGACCGAACTATGCCTCGGCGAACTCTCTCTCTCACTAAGCGAGGGCGACTGGCTGAGGGCATCGTAGGACGCACGTCATCGCGGCTAGACTCTACAATCGCCTTGATGGGCCGAACTCTTCCCTATGGCTAGCTGTTTAGCGATTCAACAATTGCTCTACCCCCTCCGCAACAAGGGAATGATCTATGCGTAGAGCGCCTCATCTAACGGTTTCATGACGGCCTAATCATCGCAGCGGTCCTAGCCTATCTCCTTACTACTCGATAGTCGCGAGGGCAAGTAAGAAGAAATAGCGAGGTTAGGAAATAGATCTACTACGCTGCTTGGCCTAAACTGTCCGGATGCACCCACGCGGACGAAATCTCGTCCTCGGTAAAAAATCAACCCCTATAAAACTGAAACCAGCATCCGTCACATACAGTACAGTACTACTTTACATCCAACCCCGGAATTTGATTCGTAACTAAACAAAGAAGGCACCAAACCAGTATGAGAAATGTTTTAAGGCAATTATCCGGGCAATACTTTCCGTCAGTGTATTACCCTGACTGGCCTTGTGGCCCCTCCCAGTGGCTGGACTAGTAGTGCCGCCCTGGTCTTGCTCTTGCCTTGGTCTGTACTCGTTTGACTGGTCTTTAGACCCTTGCCTTAGAGGCTGGACTAGTAGTGCCACCCTGAGCTGCTTGTTGTCTCGTCAGGCACTGCCCCTATACAGTCTAGGGGGTGTGTCAAACATATCTTAGTAGGCTATTGTAGCCAGGCCCCCAAATTGGTTTTGGGGGTGTCTAATTCATCAGACTTGCTTGACATCCCTTGGTATGGCCATCAGAGTCGCCCCTTAAAAAATCCTGAAAAATCAGAGTAACAAGAGGTTTTTTGTCTGGTTATTCAGAGTTACCATTAACTTTTACGCTGATTATAAAACTGGTGTTCAGTATGTCTATTTTCTCCTTTCCTTTCATAATCCAGGGGCTTTCTCTTCTTGCATGCTCTTGCTATCTGTGTGCTGGCGACAGCACACAGAATTTCGCGTCACCCTCGACCCGGCCCCACGCCAGCGCAAATGGGGCGGGCGGAAAGGAATTGGGGGGTGGGCAAAGTAAAACTGCAGGGAGGGAGGGAAATCGCGCCATCCACGTGGCTATTTCGTGAAGGGCCAATGGGCGCCCTCGCACACACAACCCGCAGCAAACATCGGTAATTTTTTTCAAGGGCCAATCGGCCCCTCACACTCACACCCTGTACAAATTTGGAAGGTGATTTTGGTGAAGGGCCAGTAACCGCCCTCACAAAGCCCCCCGCAAGCATCGCGCTTTGATTTTGGCTAAGGGCCAATCAGCGTCCCTCACTGGTAAATCTCGCTCCTCCAGTATTACACCAATCAGAGTCATCCCCCCATTTCAAAGTTGAGGCATCAGAGTACACTAGTAGAAAAAGTTCGAAAAATCAGCGTAGGTACATAAATCTTCTCTGAAAAATCAGAGTCAAGTACAAAAGAAAGTCTTCCCAATTAGGGTGCTATTAAATTATATATTGTGACACGACTTTCAGAGGAGTGTGCAGTGCAGTCGTCATAGGTGGATAATAGTCCGGCATGTCAGAGTCAACTCAAGCCGGCGGGAACCCCCTTTCTTCATAATGTAATAGGCCGCTTGGGTGTCGCTGCGAAGCAGGATGTGCGAGCGTCGGACCTTGTCCAGAAAGGTTGACAGTGCCCAAAGGATGCCAGCAAGTTCGCGGAGCGTGCTGGATGAAGAGACGAGGGCCCGGGGGAGTGGTGAAGCATGCGAGCCGGCGTCGCCGTCCGGCGCTGAAAAACACGCGCCCCATGCGCGATCACTGGCATCCACATACATCACGACGTCGTAGAGATGAGGATTGTGGAAGCGCGAGCCATTGAAGACATCAAACTAGGTGAGCCAGAAACGCAACTCATCAAGAGAATTGGGTGTTACGAGAATTGACGCCCCCCAAGAGTGACACTCAGAGATCTGAGAAAGAAGATTGTGGGAGAAGGCACGCGCGACCGTGCCAAGCGCGAGCGCCATGGAGGCTAGCAAGCCAGTGATGCGAGCGGCCCGACAGACTGGGATAGGCCGCCCTTGCGCGCTAAGTGCACATGTCTGCTCAAGTTCGGCGAAGAGTCGCTTGCGTCTGCCGTCATCGACGGAGAAAGACGTGGTGCGAGTGTCCAGCAGGAGGCCCAAAAACTCAAGGCACTGGGTTGGTTCGAGCTGCGACTTCCTGAAGTTGACAGCGAATCCAGCTGACTGAAGATCCGCTAAAATGACGGCACGGTGGCAAAGGGCCTCGGCTCGAGTAGCATTGATGAACAAAATTTCATCGACGTATGGGATAAGTCGGATGCCGCGTCCGCGCCAACGTTTTGCGAGCTGCTTGATCAGCTGAGTAAAAACGAACGGCGCAGTAGCTAGACCAAAAGGCAATGAGAGAAACTGGAAGCGCTGCCCTTGGAGTGTAAAACCAAGGAAACGCCAATACAAGGGATGGATATCCACATGGTGGTAGCCTGATTTTAGTTCGATAGTGAATAGCCAATCGTCTTGCTGCACCGAGTCGGGCACCCGATTCAAGCCCTCGTAGCGAAAACGGGGGACGGAAAGAAATGAATTCACGTGGCGGAGGTCCAATATGAGCCTCTTTTTGGAAGGTTGGACGACTACGTTAAGCGGGCTGATGCATGTGAGTGGCTCCGATGGAGGAACGATCCGGGCCGCTCCTGTAGCGAGAAGCTCGTCCACCGCCTCCACAGCGAATGTGTGGAATTGGAGTGCCCCGGCATGTTTTGAGGCATGCTGCACTGTAGGCTCTGAAGAAGCCCAGGGGAGGCGATAGCCTGACGCGAGGACCGATAGCATGAAGTGGCTATCGTACCAACCAGACCACCATGCAAAGCAGGCACGCAGGCGTCCTCGCATACGGATTGTATCACCCGATGGGGCAACAGGTACGGCGAAGGAGCCAAGCTCTGGTGAGGGGCGGTGACGAACAAGTACAATAAAAAAAAACCGCGAAGGCCAGATGTAAGTGATCGTTCTTGACTGTACAAATACGTTTGCCAAAGCATTCGTAGCGTGAGAAGTGTGCTCGAAATAATCGAAGCGTAAGCAAGAATGAAGGCAACACTTTTGCAGTGTGCGCACCAGCAATGTTACAATCTTTGTCATGCTTTCATCGGTCGGAGGTGCGTGTTCCAATGTTCCACGCGCGTTCTGTACCTTTTGGACTGCCTTTTTTTTTCTTCTTCTTCTTTTTCTTCTTTTCTTTTCTTTCTTTCTTTCTTTCTTTCCGGCACTTCTGCCGTTCTCATGCTTCCCCCTACCCCCCTTTTTGGGGTTGTTGGTATTGTTTTTGTTGTTGTTGTTTTTTTTTTTTTTTTTTTTTTTTTTTGCACGGAAATATTGAATATATTGCCGGGCTATATTCGAAGCAGATTTGAGCCGCATGCTCGATCACCAATTGGCACAACATCAATCTTTAACATGAAATAATAGATTTATAGCATCAAGGTTTTACAAAGAATCGGCCATCAAAGCCTCTACACAATCTTAGCCGGACGGTTGGCCCCTTGGCCTCGGTGAGGACAATCTTTAAACCCATGACCGGGTTCGCGACAATAAAAGCATCGACCGTCGCCATCCCGACGCCACGTATTCCAAGTACGTGCGTCTTCACCCCTACTACGAGGGGGGGGATCGGTGCGGGATGTCGAGGGGGGGGTCTAGTAGGTCTCTTTTTGCTGGCCGCCACAATTTGTGTGGCGGCCTGAACGTTTTTATCTTCCATCACCTCCCCATATTTAATCTTTAGGACCATATTGGCCACTTCAAAACCGCGTTGATCTGCGGTGAATAAGAAATGAATCTTTTCCTCCGCCTCCTCGACTATCTGCTAGAGATAGTCGGCGGCTAACTCGCCACCACTAGGGGGCAAAACGGAGAGCGCGTGCCGAGCAATAGCCTGGATACGCTCGAAGCTAAAAAGTTGGGTTCGAATGCCGTCACTTTTTACCAAAGAAGAACGCAACTGAGGACGTGCAGGAGGGATAGGAGCAAAATTTGGGACGGTAGAACCAGACTTGAGATGAGCGGCGTTACCTTCGTCGAGGGTTTCAATGGGCGCGCCTTCGTCCGCGCCATCGCCCTCGGGTTCGGCCGCGACGGGAGGAGGGCGGGAGCGTGGCACTGCTGCTGCCGCAAGTCGAGCAGGTGCAGGGGGTGGTGCTGGATCACCGGTTTGTCCGCGCCGAAGGGCCGCGAGAAGACCGATGACGTGATGAATTGCGTCATTATTAGCGTTGTCGTTGTTGTTGTAACGAGCAGGAATTTGTTCTGCAGATCGGGGCGCTGTAGAAGCAGAGGAGCGCGCTGTAACGTGTTCACCAATTGCAGCACCCATGAAGATTCGATGGAAATTTCGCTGCGTGGCGGGGTCCAGACGCGCCATCATTTCGGCGAAATTTTTAACTCCATTGGCGATGATGACAGGATCCTGCTGTGCGCGCTGATTCGTCGGGCGAGATTCCAAATCGCCGTGGATGTCTAGATTCTGGCGATCGCCACGATCCTAGCGCTACTGGCGATTTGCGCGCTGATCAAGATTCTGACAACCCTGTTCCTGACGCGTCTGGTCACGCTCAGGATTCTTCTCATCATTTCGACCTGCGCGCCCAGGATCGCGATGATCCTTTCGATCCTCGCGCGCAGGACCGCCATGATTGCGGCCGAGGGGTGCCGCGTGCAACTGTTCCACGGGTGTCGGGGCTTTTTCTCCTGCCGGGTTCACGTTCTTCACGCCGCTCGCCGCGAAACCCGGGGGGAAAATCGCGACCATTAGAAGCGTTACGATCTCCGACGGGAGCCAATCCGGGTTGCTGAAAGGGGGTTTCGCCGAGCGCCATTCAGCAAATCCAGTACAGTAACAGATGCGTTTCTATTGCGTGGAGAGCGGGAACGATCACGATGAGTGGAAGAAGCTTGACTTCCCTCATGCACAAGGGATCCACGTCGTCCATTGCTCCTGAGATTCATTCTTGAAACAGGAGGACGACCATTTGCAGCAGAAACAATTCCTCCAGTCATGGTAGAAAAACGTGCGGCAAACACGTCCGCAAGTAGCGCGCTCCTATGCCCAGGTCTGGGCATAGGAGGGGTTTAGAGTGTGCTGGTGGTTGTAAGCAATCAGAGAAGAAAAATGAGAATGAGATTAGGTGGCAGGTCCATCAGACCTGCGAGAATGTGAAGGAGCTTGTATCCTTTACAGCAAAACTCCTCTTCAAATCGAATCACAATCTGTAAAATTTTTATGCCTAAAAAAATATTCATATTGTGTTATATAGTTGGTAGGCTTGGTAGGTTACCGAACTCTACTGTTTGGGGTACAACTCCCTCCTTGTATGCCTCTCTCTTCCTAGTCTCTCCCCTTTTCTCTTGTCAACTTTCTCCTTCCTAAATCTCACGCTATTCCATGGCTTTCCTCCTACCTAGCTTAGTTTAACATGGTTTCAAAGCAGACCCCTTTTGCACGGGCCTTCTCCTCACGCTTCCGCAGCGAACTCCCCCCCCATCACACCGCGCTAGCCCCGTTACTCCGCGCTGGCCCCGTCACCCCGCTCTGGCCCCGTCACGCCGTGCTGGCCCCATCCCTCCGCGCCGGCCCCGTCACGCCGCGCCGGCCCCGTCACTCCGCGCCGGCCCCGTCACATCGGCGTGCCTCAGTGCCGCCGTCCCGCCATGCCGCCGTGATACGATGCCGCCGCGCCGCCGTGCCGCTGGGTCGCCGTGCCGTCGTGCTGCCGTGGCGGCTTCGCCACGCCAGCGCACGGACAGCTGTGGCCAGCGCCCTATCCTAGGCACCTGTCGTAACGCCCTCATGCCAGTAAGTGTCGCACCGGCCATGGTGCCTTGCTGAAGATTCGCCCTCTCACTCCAGTAAGAGTCGCGCCAGCCATGGTGCCTCGCTGAAGATTCGCCCCCCCCCTTCCCCTGCGTCTCCTCTTCCTCCTGCCGCACCTGCTGTCTTCTACCCGGTCGTCAACCTCGCCGTGCCACATCGCCGAGAGCCTTCAGTCATGGCCGTTGCCCGCGCTGCCTCTCGCCGGCGGATGTCAGCATGCCAAGCCCGAGGGGTAGATATTGTCAAACATAACTTAGTATGTTACTGTAGAGTGTATAGGTTTGTGCCTTAGAGGGTACAACACACTAGCCTATATTCCCTTGTACTCTCTCTTTCTAGTTATTCTAGCATTCTAACATGACATCAAAGCCATCCGGGGTTCAATTCCTGGTGTACACGCTATCCCAGCGGGGGGGTGTGTCGTGGCACTGGGATAACCTTGTCAATCCTCTCTCTATCTCTAGGGAGGGTACTTGGGAGGCTTTCCTCGGGGAAGGTGGATATATGGAGCCTAACCCTCCTGATGACATCCCTTCTTATCCCTGTGGTTAGGACTGGTGACTTTATGACAGGGATGCGCTGGCCTTCGTGATGGCAGAGCTGCTGAAGAGACACACCTGCACTGACCTAGGAGAACTACGCCGCTACCTTGGCCTGCAGATCTCCAGCGACAGAGCAGCGTGCACCATCACTCTCTCACAGTCACACTTGGTGCGCCAGGTTCTTCAGCGGTTCGGTCTTCAGTTCTCCACTGCACAGCCCACACCTCTGCCAGTGGACCACAGGCTCTCAGCTCCTGTTCCTGAGGAGTCAGTAGAGCCCAGTGGTCCGTACGCAGAGCTGGTGGGTTGCCTCATATACCTGATGACTTGCACTCGCCCGGATCTCGCATACCCTCTCAGCATCCTGGCTCGTTTTGTGGCCACAGGCGGACACCGACCACAACACTGGTCTGCCGCTAAGAGGTTTTTGAGTTATCTTGCAAGTACATCGGGCATGGGGCTAGTATTGGGAGGACGCAGGCCAGTGGTCCTTACTGGACACACAGACTCTTCTTGGGCAGACGACGCTGAGACTCTCAGGTCCTCTCAAGGCTACTGCTTTAGCCTTGGTTCAGGCGCTGTTTCGTGGAGAGCTACCCGCTCCTCGTCTGTTGCCCAGTCCAGCTGAGAGGCTGAGATCTACGCTGGTGCCATGGTGGCACAGGAGCTCCACTGGCTGACCTTCTTGCTCACTGACTTAGGTGAGCGGCCTAGCTCTGCCCCGGTCCTGTACGCTGACAACAGGGCCATGATCCTCCTGTGTTAGGAGCCTCGACTTGAGGGCAGAGCGAAGCACATCCAGCTGCGGTACTTCCTCCTACGCGAGCTACAGCAGCATCGCCAGGCGCGCGTAGTACACTTGGCCTCCGATGCCAACACAGCTGATACTATATCTTTACGAAGGCGCTTGCGCCTAAAGATCATTAGCGGCATTGTGTACAGCTTGGTCTTGTTCCTGTAGCCTCGCATTTTCTAGGGCCTTGATTGTGTACAGACCTCATATATATAGATAACCCTGACTGGCCTTGTGGCCTCTCCTAGTGGCTGGACTAGTAGTGCTGCCCTTGTCTTGCTCTTATCTTTGCCAGTACTCATTTTGACTAGTCTTTAGACCCTTGACTCAGAGGCTGGACTAGTAGTGCCGCCCAGAGCTCCTTGTTCTTCTGTTAGGCACGGCCCCTATATAGTCTAGGGGTGTGTCAAACATAACTTAGTATGTTACTGTTGACTATATAGGTTTGTGCCTTAGAGGGTACAACATGTCAAACATATATATATATATATATATATAGTTTATGTTTGTATAGACTGTTGAGGTTCGTATCATAGAGGGTACAACACTTAGGCTTATACCCTTGTACTATTTTCACTCGACATTCGATTCTACGTTAAGATGGTATCACGCTTGGTAGGTAGGTGCCGCCGCTCACGCTTCCGCCCTAGGCCCTCGTCGCGT